TCTTCTATGTGCTTTGCTCGTAGTAACTCATTTCTCTTCATGTCAGTCCCCTTCTCCCCATTTCACAAACAAGGAAAGGAAGAACCAGAGAGGGTAAGTAGCCTGCTCCATAGTCACTCAGCTGGGAACTGGCAAAGCCTGGATTCTGCTCCAGGCAGCATGCTTCCAGAACTCCTAATGGAAGCCCCCAGCAGGGGGCACCTGACTTGGGAGGTGCCAAGGAAGGTTTCCAGAAGCAGCTGAAACCGAAAGGATGGACAGTTAGCTAGGGAAGGTGTGATAATGATGTGCCAGACAAGACGGTGGGAAGGAAACCACTAAGCCAATTGAATTCCCTTGCCCTGGTTTTCCATTCAGTGTTAAATCTTCTAGTGAACAGAAAAACATTCACTTTCCTTGCTCAGACTTTGTCCTGTTTATGTTTGGGTTTCTTGTCTGTTTAATCAAAGATAAGAGCTTTTGCATCTTCTCCTTCAGTTATAACAACTAACTTCAAAGTTAAATTGAGCCACTGGTTTCCAAGAGTTTGTTCATATCCCTCAGACTGTAAATTTCTTGAGTCTGGGGTGCCTGTTTCTTTCTCTCCACCATACGTCTACAGCACCTTATAGCTATTTGTCAAATACATGAATGAACAAAGTAAGAGAATGACTTAGCCTAAGAAGTACACTTAGAATAACTACACCTCAAAGTTCTCGTTGCCTTATCCTTGTTCTTTGAGATACTAGGGCCATCTTACTCTCATCAAGCTTGAAAATTTTATTTCATAATGAGTGTTGATTTATTCATTATGAACCTTCTAGAACTCCTCAAATCAAATACACACACATACATACTGTTGTTGTTTAGTCATTAAGTTGTGCCCGACTCTTTGCAACCCATGGACTGCAGCACACCAGGCTTCCCTGTCTTTCACTATCTCCTGGAGTTTGCTCAAACTCACATCCATTAAATCAGTACATATTCTTTTTCAACATAAGAACTCAAAAAAACCTTCATGAACAATGTTCTTATCAAACACTCATAGGGCACCTTCTGAATAGTCAAGGCTGCTTATCCAAAGAGTAAATGATCTGTAAATCCCTGCACTATAAGCAGTGGTTCTCAAGTTTTCCTGCATAAGAATCATCTAGGACGCTTTTAAAACATACCCATGCACCAAGAGATTCTGATTTAATTGTTCTGAGAGAAGGCCCAGACATCAACTTCTCTTAATGCTCCCCAAATAGTTCTATTGTGCTGCTATCATGGCAAACCACCCCCCCCGACAGTGGTTACCCAGGAGTGAGTCAGAGGACAGAGATTGTTGGGTAGAGTGAGGAAGCCCTCAGCTCTGAGAGTGTGACCAGCATAGAGGCAGAAGACAGCTTTCCTGGAATGCTCTCTTCCTGGTCCCTTGACTCCTGGCCACAGCATTTCCAGGCACTGTGAGAAGACCCAAGGCACTCGGCCCAGAGGGGAGAGGTAGGAAATGCTCTTGGATGCGTGCTGGTCTCACAGGGCTTCACCCACAGCCTCCCAACTGCAGGCTATCTGCTGTGGTTTTCATGACATAGCTGCAAGCAAGGGTCTTCTTAGTCAGTGGTCAAAAAGAAGAAAAAGAAAACTACTATTTTCAGCATCAGCAGTGAGGAAGGGATGATCTTCTCCCTCTATTCCAGACAGGAAGAGAAAGTTATCTGTTTCCCAGGGGGGAGCTGGGGGTTGGGGCAGCAGCCACTGTGCTGGAGGGGAGGTGAGAGAAAAGCTGGCCAGGTTGGCCAGGAGCAACTTCATCCCATTCTTGGGTGTTCTCACCAGGCTGGAGAAAAGTGGCCACAGAAGCAAAAGGGGGAAATTGGTCATTTGCATCAGCTCTGTCTGCAGCTGGGGACGGTCAACAGCAAGATCTGAACCCGGCATCTGCGTGGATGCCCACAGAAACTGTACACAGGATATGGGGTGTGTGTGTGTCTCTGTGAGTGTTTTCTAAGAAAAGGTTTCTGTTTTTCATCAGCGTCCTAAAGATTAAAGACGAAACTGGCCCCAAGCAACGCCTGCTCAAAGATGAACACCTATATGTCACCTAAACATCTTGCCCCATCAGATTTGTTTAACTGGATGCAGCAGGACTCAGCTACAGCAAATTGCAGACGTGAATGACATTTTTCCTCTGTGCTCAGTCCAGGGGTGTAAATTCCCCATGTTCAGGTGACCTGAGAACATTTAATTGTCACCAACCAGCTTTGTCTTGTACCTCAACTCAGACATTTCCCTCCCTCTCCCACCGACACAGGGATTTTCTTGGATCCCCCACATCTCTGTTCTTTCCTTCTGCCCTGTGCACCCAGACCTGAATCCGTTTTTTTCTGTCTCATTCCATCCTTGAGCTCCAAAGTTTGAGGAACTGTGATGTTAGTCTTGGGGCTCCCAGGTGGCACTAGTGCTAAAGAACCCGCCTGACAATGCAAGAGACAAAGGAGACTGGGGTTCGATTCCTGGGTTGGGAAGAACCTCTGGAGGAGAGAATGGCAACCCACTCCAGTATTCTTACCTGAAGAATCCCATGGACAGAGGAGCCTGGCGGGCTACTGACCACTGGTTCGCACAGAGTCTGATATGACTCAAGTGATTTAGCACGCACAATGTTAGTTTTGTGACAGCCTTCTAGATCCTAGTTACTTGTCACCCTCAGCATTCTGGGCTGAACTTCCAAGGTCATGGGCAAAGGAGAACTGCCTAAGTCAGTTTTTCCTCCCTGGGGGCAGACCAATGCATGTTTCAGAACAGTCATGAAGAGGACACATTGTTTTAGAGAAAACCATTAGCCTTAACACTATTTATTGATGCTACCCTCTAAAAAAAATGAGACAACTGCCTAACTAGTTCTAGATATGAGAGAGAAGAAATCCTAATTATTCTCATTTTACGTAAGCGCTTATTAGGCAAGCCTAATTCCTACATGGCACAATAATGGTGGGTCATTAAGTGGGTCAGTTTCCTTCTCTTTCAAAGCTGAACTTTATTCAGGTATGTCAGCCTTGAAAGCTTGCTGATTCTGGGGCAGGACCGTCTGCTTTCAATTTAGGGGGAAAAAAAATCATTAGAGGAGAATGTTGGCCTAGACAAGGAAGCCAAGGAGGGGAAAGGAGCCAAGTGGGCCAGAGACCTCTGCTTCCTTCATGATTGACTGTATGACCTTAGGCAGGTCAGTTTACCTCTCTGGACTTCCCCCCTTCTCCCCAGGGCAGGATGCACTGGGTACTGGTTTTAACATTTTTTTTTCTTTAAGCAGTATCCCCCCCTCTTTTTTTTTCCCCCCATACAAAACATATATGAAAACTCAAAATATAAATCAGGTGAAAGAGGAACTGTTTAAGGCTGCCTTTGGGGTGTTTTCACAGAACCCTGGGATTCTTTGCTCATCCTAGGATCTGTGACATGGTCAGAACAGGGCAGGGCTAAGAAGTACCTCCATGTACCTCTCAGCTTTGGAGCGAGGGCCCAGAGTTTAACACCCACTTGGTGGGAACATTCATAAGTGAACCCGGACAAGACCCTGAAGCCCCCCTGCTAAAAAACAGGTGGAGGAAAACATTTCATTCTGAAAGCCTGATGGTAGTGGTTAAGATGCATACTTGGAGTTCTCAAAAAAAAAAGAATCAATTCAAGGATGTTATTTCAAATCTACCTCTCTAGATTGCTGGATGGGATTAAATGAATTGACTCAGTTGTGTCCCAGTTTTAAAAGAGGCAGTTTTGAAACCTGTGGTCTCTCAAGCTGTAAAATACTAAGCCATTCATTTGTCCTAAAGACACGGCAGCCTCTGAACTCAAGAATACCACAGGAATATCACACCACTGCAAATTACAAGGTGGTGCTGAGTCTTTAAAAAAAAAAGAAATAGAAACAAAAGCACTGCTCTGTTTTCGAGATGCACATTTGATATGAGCTAATCAAATAGTTTTTGAGATTACTTTCCTGGAGGCAGAATTATTCTGCCCAGCTAGCCCTTCAGTTTCCCCGCTTTGTTGTATCTATCTATGTATAAACACAAGGCGCATATAGTGAATTTTTCTCACTGAAGTTTCTGAAGACAAGGCCTTTTTGTCATGGATAAATGCAGGGCCAGTCAACCTTACAAAAGGAGTCATTTAATGCTCAATTTCCCCAACTTTCCTATGATTAAAAACTCTAACCTCAAATGCCATTACTCTGTTCGAGAATGTTTTCTTTCACCCTCCCCCCAACAAATGTTTAAATTGTCTCTACTCTGGAGGATTCCCTTTTCTCCAATCTGACCTTGAAAACAGAGCGGCTCTCCTATTCACTTACATGCCCTAAACTATTTTAAAATCAAGGCCCTCTGACCTTTTCACAACACTCTTCTTGTCTGACACACCAAATGCTCCTCTGAAAGCCCAGAGGAGGTAAAGGGTCTGAAGGGTTGGAAAGGGGGAGGGAGGGATGTACTATATATTTGGCATCAGTTCAGAAATTCAGAAAATGTTTGTGCAACCACTCCCCCAGCCAGGATCCACCGCACCCCCTGCCTTCCAGCACATTAATAAAAAAAGATGTGAGCGGACGAAATTGGAGAGCCCTGGAGGGACACCTAAGGCGGTCATAATTACGTGCCCAGAGACGCCCACTGAACAGCATCCTTCAGGTCCAGCCCTCATCCTTCCCCTCCGACATCCAAAGTTTGGGAGCGGGACCTCTCGCGCCTTCACCCCCCCCACCCTCCAGAGCAGCCGGTCAGACGGGTGGCAGCACCGCCCATTAACGGCTAGTGTGACACAAACGGAAGAAGTGACATAACCTCTGCACGTCGGGGTGGCAGCGTTATGCACCTTAAGATCATATAAGTTTTTTTGTTTAAAAAAAGCACCACGAGCGCACAGGCCTGGAATACATTAACTTGTGAACTGAATGCAACACGCCCTACGAGAGTCTCCCTCTCTCGCTCTGAAACAAAAAGAAGCGGTGGGGGGTGGGGGGTGGGGAGAAGGCACTTTACCATCCTGTCCTGAGCTCTCCAGATACTCCGTCAGGTCACAGCCGAAGGCGCTGGCGGCTCCCTTTCGTTTCAGCTTCTGCTTGGCACCCTTGTTCTTCATGAGTTAGTCCCAAAGAGGTTGCCCCCCCGTCTCGCCCTCCCCTCTCTGCTTGGCACCGCGCCTACGATGGTCTCCGGGGAGGAGGTTAGATCAGTGGCTGCGGCGCGGCGCTGGGGGGCCGCAGGGGCGTGGGGGAGAGCCTGGGCCCCGGGGCAGCGCGCATGGAGCCCGCGGGGCGCGGAGCCTGAACTCCACGGCGCGCTCCTCCAGGGCCGCGGTGCCGCAGGCCGTGCGGAGCTGGCAGCGGCGGCGGGCCGGCGCGCTGGGACTGCCACTTCCTCACTTGGAGTCCCCGGGACTTTCACGGCCTCCCGCGGTGTCTTCTTCGGGTGTTTTCCTCCCCTTCAGAGGGAGGGCGAGCTCTCCGGGGTCCGCCTTCTCGAAGCCCGGGGAGTGGCCGAGAGCGCAGGGCAGCCGGCGGCGGCGAGGGGCGCGGAGACCGCCCGGGGGGGCTGCCGTGGGTCCTCCGCCCGGCGCGCGCTGTCCAGTCTTCAGACGGCTTGGGGAGGACGAAAATCCAGCATCCTGTCTCTCTCGCCCGCCCTCACGCCTTCCTTTTTTCCTGTCTTACAAATCCTAGGATCATCCAGCTCAGGAAATGCTGGAAGGAAGTTAGCTAGGGAGGGGGGCGGAGGGTGGAAATTTTTGGCAGCTCCGCTCTGGTGTGTGTATGGAGCCGGAGGAAGTAGGTGGGTGGGTTGAGGAGGACCGGGTGGGGGAGAGAACGCGCTCTTAGGAGAGCTGCTCGGCGGCTCTGGAGATAACTGGGCGGCTCGGAGGAAATCGCCGCGCTCCTAGGAGCACCCGCAGCCCGAACCGCCCGCTTCCTGCCCCACCGACGGCTCTTTGAAGACGCCAGAGGAGACGCGCTGGCTTTCTGGTTGGAGGGGGCTAGGTGGGACTGAAAAAAATGTCCTGCCTTGTTTTTATCTTCATTGTCATCATCTCTTTGACACTTTCTATTTCGGTGCCTGTCTCCTCCTACATAAACACTTAAAGAGTAATGACAGAAACAAAGGCAGGGATTCCAGCAGAGAAACCTGACGGAAAGCGGGTTTCCGCCTGCCACTCCCACCCTCCTTTGCCGGCGCCCAGGTACCCCCAACCCAGCTAAGTCCCTCCCAAGCGGAGGGAGAAATGGATGCTGTCGCCTTGCAACCACTGCTGAGGAAATCAGTTTTCTGGTTAGAGATTCAAGCATACCACACACACACACACACACACGCGTTATTGCAAAGTTTGCTAAATGGAAGTGATTTTGGGGGGCAGTCTCGGATTTAAGGTGACTCAGATATTCTACCCTAATATGGAGAAAGCAGTCTCCCAGGTTATTTCATAATTTGTCTCACGGTTTCTGGAGGGCATGTGTTTTCTTCTGTATTTAATTTGAAATTCTTTGACTTCTGTGTACTCAGCACACAGTAAGCACTCAAATTCTTATTATTTAACCATCTGAGGATTAGATTAGACTTCCTGTGTAAATTCAAATCCATATATAGACTTGAAGGGTAGGGACATTCACACAGCTCAGAAGGCTGGAAAAACTTTAGGTATAGTATTTTAGTTACTGGATCCCTTTACAGTCTCTTATCTTCCTATGTATCACCAAGATAGTTTATGAACTTTGACCCTTGACCTTCTCTCTTTGTCAGAGCTTACAATTGATAGATAGCCTGCCTGCCAAATCTGGCCCACAGATGTGTTTGGTTTAGCACATGCCAGTTTTAAAGTTTTAAAAAATTAATTGCCAACATTAAAGAGTTAATATTTTTCACATATGAGATCTGGATTTCTGGCTTCCCCTGAAGAAATTGAAGATCTGGTAACATCAAAAGTGCATTCCCACATAGCAAGGACCTCTGATGCCAAGCTGTATCAACCCCCATGGACCACCACCCTGTTGAGAGAGATCAGTTGTCCAGTCTCAAAGCCACCACGGCCTGTCGTCCCCACTTTGCACCTGCCTGGCCTCTGGAACCACTGGAGTTTGCGCCCCAAGCTCTGTGTGTGATCTTTCCTTCCATTTTCCATTAGTCTCTCAGTGACACCAGCATTGTGCCAGTCATCTTGGTGAGACATCTTCAAGTAACCACTGACTCATTTCTCTCTTTCCGCCCCCACCTCCAGTCTAATCCCTCCCAGACTGATGAGTCCTTCAAAATGCCTGTCCTCTGGGCTTTTTCCTTCCAGGCCCATTTGGTGAGGACCATTCACTCCAAAATTGTTAGAATAACTCCTAGTGGGGTTTGCTGAGTGCGGTCTCTTTCCACTTCATCCTGTGCACTAAAGGCCTGTTGAATCTTCCTGAACTGTTGCTGTTGTAGTTTGCCTGCTTTGCTCAAAATTTGTCAATGACTCCCTGTTTTCTTTTTCTAGGACAGCAGTTTCTAAGCTTCTTGTAAGCTACTTGGAAAATATTTGGTAGGGTATTTAGTATAATGACTTGTTCCTTTATTTATAGAGAAGCATCTCCACATGAGACTATAATTATTACTATTACTATTTATTTAGGAGTTTACTGTATCAAAGACCTCCATATCTGACCTACAGTGCATTTTATCATCTTGGCAGCAAAGGAGAGATGCTGAAGTGTTGTTCTTTTCCTGAGTCCAGCCCCTAAACTCAAGTTTTGGAATAAATTGTCAAGTCCTGTGAATTATCTTTCTAAATTTTAAAAATACTCTTTTTTAATTTTTTACATTGAAATAATTTCAGATTATAAAAAATTTTACAAAAAATAGTCAAAGAATTCCTGTATACCTTCATTCAGCTTTCCCAAATATTAGTGTCATACAATCAGAGTATAAAGTTAGGAAATTTATATTGATACAGTAATATTGACTAATCAGCAGACCTTAATCAATATCAATTGATTTTTAATTGCATAATATTTTTATTAAATATGATCTTTCTGACAGTAAAGTTCACCAGTTAAATAAAGAGTAATTTACAAATAATTCTAAAACACTTCCCATGATAATATTAGCTATGTACCAGATCCCATTAAGCACCATCAAACCCAGCAGGTGTAGGTTGTCACAAAATAAGTTTTCCTAGATGAATTATAAAGCTAATGACTGACTCAGCCCAAAGATTCTTCTGTGCTTTACTGAGGACTCCCCAAAGGGACTCCACAAGCACAGAATTTTCCTTTTGGAACAGCCTGAGACCTTTCCACGCCTGCTTCATGATAAGCTGGGTTTGTGGATTGTTTAGGATTCAGGGTCAAGGTAATACTGAGCACTGGACAAGGCATCCATTATGTCTGGACCAACTGAACAAAACCTTATTTGAAATGTGTACATGGTGATTCTCTGTCTCTGATAGCTCTTAACTGTCTACGCCTCATGGTGGGAAGCACTCACAATTTATCAAGTTGGATAATGAAGCTACATGGTGCCAGGCTGACCCAGGGAGCTAGAAAGTCATCCTCTCCCCATTTGCTCTCTCCCTAGTGGTGAGTAAGCCCTATGATAGGTGCTGAATTTACATCTAGCCCTTGTTCTGGACATTCACTATGTTTCTTTCTCTTCCCATTGTTCTTTTCCCTCTTCCTTACTCTAAGATATGTAGCTTTTTCTGGATCTGTGGAAGGAAGTCAGATTTGGGTTCCAATGGGTTTTTCCACTGGACTAAGGATTTCCCAGAAAGTTACAAGGAGACAGTGTAGGAATGTTAACAGGAGGACTAATTAAGCTATTTGGTGATAATACAAATTATGCTTTTAGCAGATTATCATGATGTAAAAAGCACTTTACTCACATATAACTCCCAAGGAAGAGTTCTGTCCTTTTCTGTGATTTAGCTTGGGCTTCCCAGGTGGCACAGTGGTAAAGAATCCACCTGCCAATGCAGGAGATGCAAAAGACATGGGTTTGATCCCTGGGTTACAGTCCACGGGGTTGCGAAGAGTTGGACACAACTGAGTGACTGAGCACTTGTTATTTCTTATCTGCAGTTGGTTAAGACTGATGCTTATCAAACTGTGCCATCTGCTTCTTTGACTCACCAAGCTTGGAAGCAATCTTATCTGCTGTATATAAATAGATGAGAGTGAGAGTGAGTATTAGAAGTGAGTGAGTATTAATACTCACTGAGAATGAATATTAGAAGATTTTTAAAAATTGAAGTCTAGTTGATTTACAGTGTTGTCTTAATTTCAGCTGTACAGCAGAGTAATTCAGTTATCCATATACACATTCTTTTTTAAGATTCTTTTCCATTATGGTATATCACAGCATATTGAATATAGTTCCCTGTGCTGCACAGTAGGATCTTGTAGCTTTTCATTATTTATATAATAGTTTGCATCTGCTAATCCCAAACTCCCACTCCATCCCTTCCCCATCCCACCCAGTACTGGGAGATTTTAATGTCACCTGTGATTTAGCCTTTCTTTTACCCAGGTGGCCCATAAAACTAGAGTTGTATACTCAGTTACTCAGTCGTGTCCAACTCCTTGCAAGCCCATGGACTGTAGCCCACCAGGCTCCTCTGTTTGTAGGATTTTCCAGGCAAGAATACTAGAGTGGGTTGGCATTTCCTTCTCCAGGGAGAAAAAGAAACTAAGAGTTAGAAATCAGCAATTTTAGAGCTCTCCCTTCTATCCTCATGCTCAACCAATTAAATACTCTTATAATTCCTTGTTCATGGGCTCTGGTTAATACGCTCTGAATTCTTTGTTCTAGGGTACAAGTGTTAGCTCATCCTTCTGCTAGGTACATTTTCTCTCCCACTTTCTTCTCCCCCTTTCCAGGTTAAGGATTGCGACTTGCCTGGCAGTACATTGGCAGTCCTTGCTTCCAGTTCAAGGGGCACAGGTTCCACCCCTGGTCACAGAACTAAGGTCCTGCATGCCATGCAGCACAGCCAAAAAGAAATAATAAAAAATGAAGATGCTAGTGTTGTCATGACTGTTGGGTGTGGTGGGCTAAATTGTGCCCCCCTCCATGTCCATATGTTGAAGCCCCAATCCCTAGTCCCTCAGAATCTGACTGTATTTGGAAATAAGGCCTTTAAAGATGTGCTTAAGTTAAAATGGGACTTCCCTGGTGGCTCAGACAGTAAAAGCGTCTGCCTATAATGTTGGAGACCCGGGTTCGATCCCTGGGTCAGGAAGATCCCCCTGGAGAAGGAAATGGCAACCCACTCCAATACTCTTGCCTGGAAAATCCCATAGATGGACAGAGGAGCCTGGTAGGCTACAGTCCACGGGGTCGCAAAGATTTGGACAAGACTGAGCGACTTCACATTCACTTAAGTTAAAATGAGGCTATTTGATTTGGCCATGATCCAATTTGAGTGGCTTCCTTGTGAGAAGAGATTAGGACACTGGGATCAGGAATGTGTACCACAAAGAAAAGACCATGTGAGGAAACACTGAGAAGGTGGTCTTCTGCAAGGCAGGGAGAAAGGCCTCAGGAGAAATCAAACCTACTAACACCTTGATCTTGGACTTCCAGCCTCCAGAACTGTGAGAAACTAAATTTCTGTTATTTAAGCCACCTTCTGTATGGTATTTTGATATGACAGCCCTAGCAGACTGATATATAATGTTCAGTGAGTTTCTTCCATGCGAGAGGTCTGAGCCCAACCACCCCTGAGCATCTGAAGACAATAGAGGATGAGGATGGCCAGAGCAAAAGGACTTCTAGAAAGTTTTGTATCCCAAGCTCTGTTATTGCATCCCCAAGTGCTAGGGG